GCGAGGACTCTTTCGTCGACGCTCAGGAATCGCTTGACCACCAGGAAGATGCTCAGGATGTCCACCACGACAGCTACGCCGTTCAAGATCGTAAGTCTTCCTACCCTGCAACTCCCCAACATCTCCATCAGCATACTGAACATCTACTAGCGGAGCCAGCTGACTCTCTTGTTTGCAGCGATGACTTCATCTGAGCTGCATACGCCAGTTGATGTGAGCTGTGTCGATGGTTGCGAGCAATGTACTTGCCATGCCAACGAAATCGCTAGCGTACTTATGAGCAGGGACTCGGGAATGGCTCAGTCACAGCGCGTAGAGCTTGAGGAGATGGTCGGTAATATGGGCTGAGGGTGCTCTTCATCTTCACGAGGAGTTTGGTGGATTTCTGCAGCATGCGTTACATGGAATTTGGCGTCGGGCGGAATACGGTGCATAACGATGGCGTCAACTGAGCTTCAAGGGAAAAGGCTTTCAATCTTTGTATTCGATGTGCAGAGTGTTTGGTTCCTGGAAGCGCTGAGCTGATAAAATTCTCCCACGCCCTTCATAAAGCCAGTTCGTGATACTTGCTCACGAGCCCGCCAATTACGGTGTCAACACCAGTTTTCCAGTTGTCTTCCTGCTCTCGATGTCCTGAGTTGCACGCACAATTTCGCTCAACGGATACACGTCGTGAATTTTGACATTCAGTCCGTCCTTCTCGATGAAGTTCCACAGCTCTTTTGCCGCCGTCTGCAGTTCTTCGCGAGTGGCGATGTAGTTGAACAGCGTAGGTCGGACGAGCTTGACGTTCTTTGCTCCCAAGCGACTAGACGATGTGTCAGCTACATTCTCACATGAATAGTATAAGAGAGACTCACGCAAGAGCGAAACCCTCAACTGGTCCCGATGCGTTTCCAAACGAGCACATCGTGCCCTTCCTCCTTACGACAGACAACGAGCTGTCAAAGGTGGACTTGCCGACAGAGTCGAAGACTGCGTGCACACCCTCGCCTCCAGTAGTCTCTAGGACTTTCTTCACGAAAACGTCTCGGTTGTCCTCGTGGTATTCCAGTAACACCTCTGCGCCGTTCTGCTTTGCCAAGTTCCTCTTCTCCTCTGTGCTAGCTGTAGCAATGACCCTTGCGCCGACAGCCCTCAGCAACTGGCAGAGCCATAGTCCTACACCGCCAGCTGCGGCAGTGACAAGAATCCAGTCGCCTTCCTTGACTTCGTAAGCATCACGGATTAGAGTTACGGCGGTTAATGCCTGGAGAATCGAAGCAGCGGCTGTCTTGGTGGAGATAGAATCAGGGAGCGGAATTGTGTAGTTCGCCGGTGCAGCAGTATACTCTGCGTACGCGGATTGCCCCATGTAGGCTACGCGCGCACCCGGTTTGAGATCAGAAGGTGCGTTGGGTCCGACGGAAGCGACGGTTCCAGCACCTTCCCGACCGAGAACATACGGGAACTGCGGCGGCTTATATACACCGGAGCGGAAGTAGCTGGCGACAGTTTAGCATGAAATCTTGGTTTCTGAGCAGGTGGACAGGGGTGCTCACGTGTCGATGTAGTTGATGCCGATGAACTCGTTCTTGACCAAGACCTCGCCTTCTTTGGGCTCTGGAACCGGTACATCAGTCTTGTACTGCAGGACTTCTGTTCCACCGGTCTTCTCGATGTACACGGCCTTCATGGTCTTTGGGAGTGAAGACATGGTTCTGATGATGGAAGCTCTTGGAGCAATGTGGGAATTGATGGCTGCAAGTCGGGTTGTCGACCTGGAAAGTAGATTCTTCGAGCGCAAAGTGAGTGGTGCCAGCGTCATGAATCACAAAAGATGGGCTGATGGTCGGCTCAATTTAAGCAAGCTCTCTCAAGAGAGGCATGCCCGTTGATGATAAATACCCGCGGATACGGCGTTAATTCCGAGTGATCTGCGAGCTGACAGCCCCGCTCCCCGCACACGTCATTATCGTCTCAGTTCGCGACTTCCTTTCGGACGCGGCACTCGCAGTCGCTTCCCGTTTGTAATGAATTACTGCAGCGGCCCCTATGAAAATGTACTTCGTAGGGCGCGCTAGCATTGTGTCAACCCGATAGGGCGTGTTCATTACGAAGCGAACATGATCATAAATGCTAGAACTTAGCCATGTGGACATCGCCCGCCGTTCATCGGCTTGCTGGGCTGCGCGCCATTTCTCAAGTATCTATGATGTTCTTTCTCTTTCCTCAATTTGGTCACGTGCATATGTGTGCACCTTGCATTCTTCTCACTAGGTACGCGCAGTTAGAGAATACGCCACTTGATCTGGGATAGACTCCTGGCAGAGCGAAGCATGGTGTGATGACCTCGTATCGCGTCTGTGAGCTATTACCTAGGTAGACTACGATAACAACTTTGCTGGCGACAGCATCTTCTTGCCCTCTCCCTCTCTCTCTCTTTCTTCCTCCGCTTCGGAGGCCAAAATACGCGAGTCTACTGCCCACGTTTAGGACTAGGGATGTCTATCTTCCCTATTGATTGAGCTACCTCACTCATAGTCCACCTTTTAGGTCAGAATGGCAGAGGACTACGCACGAAGATAGGAGGTCAGCAAAAGAATCTAGGCACACCGTAAGCTCGCTACTGTCCCGAATTCCATATCAATGTACTCATGGAACCTCTGATCTGTCTGGCATCATCGGCATTCAAGTGCTTTTACTGATGTACAACTAGTATGACCTAGCGGTGACTGAGCGTGGCAGTACATCGAAGGCTGTTGTCAAATTGCTCTCCCATCAGAGCCCAGTGAAGACGTGAGTCTCGAGTTATGCACATCCTGCATAGAGGATTGGACTAGTTCTTGGACATGCTCCTTCCCAAAGCAGCATTGCGCTCGCGTGGAATGCTTGAAAAGCGGTGACCGAGCGCGCAGTGCAAACGGCCACACATTCTACTAGTCTCGCACAGTTTCCTCGCCCTTGACACTACATTGGAGTATATTCATCGCCGTCCAAAATCGCCTTTTTACACCGACAAATACCCGACGTTCGCTACCCGGTGCTATTATGCTGGATCCTGAAATGCCTCAGTGTCAGCTTAAGGACGCTATGGCGGTTCGTGAATGGGCGAGGACCATCTTTCCTACCGAATTCGAATCTCTGCCAGACCTGGACGATCTTGAGACGTATATTCTGGAGGTTGCTGAGACATCCACGATCTCAAAAGCCATCGCATTCACGAGCTTCGACCCACCTTGCATGGCTGCCGAGCGGCTCTGGCCTGGCACTGGAGAGATCACTGTACTTGCGTTCATTCAAGAGTCTTCGCTGATGGCCTGTCCGATCCGTGGTGATCAGATTGGCGGCAAGTTCGATTTACTCGAATGGCTCAAGGATTATGGGCCAACGTTCTTGGACGCGTTCGCTTCGTGTTCACTGGATGACCGTCAATGCCCCACCCCTGTCGAGATCGCGCTTGAGATAGAGGCGACCATCAGATACTACCTTGCGGCGAAAGGGGTGGTAAAGGCTCTACAATGCGATGATCAGATGTTCAAATGGAACTTCGCACGCGCATGTCATCGCCAGCATCAGAAGCTGTTGGAAGAGCGTAAGTCAGAAGTAAACTTTTCTTCTTCCCGATGGCACAATCATTGACCATAAATAGGCAATACCCCAGAAGAAGCTTCGGGCTCTGTCGAACAACGTATCACTGGACTTCCTGAGTCCTCTGACATGTCTCAAGATTGCAACGGCGCTCACGAGCGATCCGGCGAGGAAGGAAACGCAAACGACAACAACACAACAAGCCGTGCTTTGAACGAGAACCAGCAGCACAGCGCCCTCAGCGAGGATACCAACATCGCCAATCTACAACGCGAGATCAAGAAGTTGCGTGTAAGACAAAAGAAGACAAAGCGTCTTGAGGACAAATTCGCTACCCTTGAGGTACGCTTGAGTGCTTCGGAGAACAGAGAGAAGGCCATGAGTGACCGGCTTGATGCCATTACTCAGGAGCGGTATGACATGGAACAGCAGCACCAGACTCTTTGGAATGAATGTTTCTTCTTCAAGGCAGTCCAGGTAGATCGCACCAACACAGCTCTCGAAGCAGTGTTAGTTCTGTTCAGAGACCTTGCTCTGATCGAAGGTCAAGCTCAAAAGCTAGCAACCGAACACGAAGAGCTTAAGAAGGAAAACAGCGGCCTGGAAAACAAATTGCAAACTATGTTCGATTTTGCTATGAAGTCAAAAAACACCACAGTTCTGCATAGGGTCGCGAATGAGTCAGCTATGGCTCATATCAAGAAGCTAGAGGAGAAGGTCGAAGAGCTGGAGACACAGATGAGAAAGCAAGAGACCTTGGTCAAGCAAGAAGAGTTCGAGAAACGCCGCAGCGCTATGGACTCGGCTCGTTGAGCCTGGCGATTGCCATATGCCACAACTTTGTGTTTTGAGGGTAGTACAGAAAGTTGGCGTAATGCCTGCAGCAGATGCCGTCTTCGTCTGTACAAATCAAGCGTTCTGGCTTATACAAAGCTTGGAAGGTGCCATCGCAATGTGGAAAGTGCGATAAGAAAGGGATATTATCGGAATGGCAAGGAAGAGATGCGCGGAATATAGAGGAAACCGTGGTTGGATCGCACAGTAGGCAATCGGCTTGCCCAACAACTAAAAGTCGGTGGTTCCTAAGACCACATTTACCGATGGGGCTGCAAAACACGCGATGTTTCCACATTCAGTAGATCGAAATTCTGCCACAATTCCCAGATCCGATGGTAGAGTGAGGTGTTCTCTCTCACTTTTTGCTTAGCTGTATAAAGTGGGGTTGTCCACTGCTTCCCTCTCATCGCTCCTCCCTCAATCGCTTTCATCAGCGCGCCTCGGTGAGGCCACTAACCACTTCTAGTATCTTCAGTCGTCATATCACGATGAAGATGAGCCCACTTTAGGCGCAATCTTCTGGAGCTTCGTTCCGCCCTGCGAGAACCTTTGTAACAACACGCGCATTCGTTCAGATTGCACACACCCACACCATGGCGCCCACCGGACTTACCTTCAAGGACGTCCAAGTATGGGCATTGCAAGACTTCCCTGATCACTTCAAGCACCTTCCTGATTCGAACGCATTTCATGTACAGTTCAACGTCGTCCGTGGGTACAATCATGACAAAAATTTCAGAAGCCTCGTCATAGGCAGCACCTATACCAAGACCGGAAAGCCAGCGGATATCCTGGCATGGCTTGCAGGTAGCCGTATACAGCTTGGGTATATTGGCAAGAATCGGAAGGGAGAGCCTCAAGTTCGTCCACTAGCTTCTGTCGAGAAGGACACCTCGTCTTCGAACTTCAAGTTTCCGTTCAACCTAGTTCCACCAACCCAAAGCGAGACAGAAATTGCGTGTTTCAACGCGGTGTTACGCTATTACTTCCTCGCCAAAGGTTGGAGTAAAGGCGTGATCGACGAGTCGGATGTCTTCAACAGATTCGTATCCAGGTTCCCTTACGCTTGCCGGGCTATCGCAAACGCGGCCGCGGAACCGGTTCCGAGCTCACACGGTACGGTCTATTCACAACAAGCTAGCCGTGTCCCGGTAGCTTCAGCAAATCACCAGCGTATGTCTAATTTCAGTCGTTAACAAAGTCAGAGTAACTGACACTTGAGCTTAGCGCATTGTCCCGAGAGGGCTCCCTACCTTTTCGAGCAGATTGCCAACGATCTACTCCCAAGCAGCTCGTATACTGTGCTCAGCAGCCCGTCGCCCAGTCCGCCGCCGATTGAGGGTCATATCACGCCCCAGGTACTGCGCTCCCCACTTGAGCTGCAGACTCGATTCGGATGTCCACAACCAGACAGTCCTGGTGGGGACCAGATGGCGGCACTCGATGAATCGAACAATGCCGGCGAGCGAGACAGCCCCGGGCTACGAAACAAGCTTTTCGATCTCAACATCCAAATCATGATTGCGGAGGGTCGCACTCGGGATGCCGAGACAGTAGCGCAGAAAGCTCAAGAAGAGTCACAACTCTGGAAGAAAAGGTACGAAGAAGCCGAGTTGTACAGAATCAAATATGAGGAGATTCGTAGCCACTTTGGATTGCAGGAGCAGGATGAACGCAGAGCCTGAATGTCAAGGCATAGAAGTGGAACTGAGAGGAAGGGAGTTGTGGATGGAGATCTCGCGCATCGTACCTGCGATAGAGGAGGGGTGGATAACGTTTCGGTCGCAGCAGCGGCGAAGGGCGAATAATTGACGCGGGAGGCAGCTCTGTGCAATAATAATTCAAGGGTAAATCTGGGCGATCCGATCGCGTGAGCGTAGCGTCACAGTCAGCTTTGCTTTGAGGAATACATCGCTTTTGTGCGTAAATTCTTACCGGTGCTCTTTGATGGAGGGAAGATGAGACGTGTCCAGGGTCCATTCACATGGGCTCTTGAGAGACAAGGGCGCCCCGCCTACGTCGCGGACGCGTTCCCACGCGGACGCAGCGTGAACCAAGTTCGCGCACCGCCGCTACGTCATCGCTCACATCACAATCAAGCGCAAGCCCACAAACATCTACCGCGCGCAGAATCCCCACCTCACATGATCGATGCGCATATACATATTTTACTACTCTTCCATCCCTAGAGTATATCCCAAACCTATTTGAGGCTCTTTTCGGCATGGGCGCGTTACTTTCTTCCATCCTTGCGCCTATCGCCCTACCGCTGGGCTCGTTCTTGGCCATCCCTATGCTATCCTCCTGGTCGACAGGCCTAAACCTCATCTTCCTCTCGGTCGCATGGACGACAATCGCCGCATCCTATTCTCCTCTTCAACTTGAGCTAGTTGCGCCCCTAGTAATTCGGCTATCTCTCTACATCATACCCAGCCTGATCTTCTTGCTATTCGATATTGGATTACCAAGTCTAGCAATCGAGTTCAAATCTCAGGGACAATGGGGTATTCCAAACAACCAGAAGGGTGGCGCACGCGCAGTGAGAAGGGTGATTGCGTGGAGCTTCACAAATGTGCTGCTCAGTGTGGCGTTGCAAGCGGGTATTGAATTCTTGATCACAGACGTACTCCAGATAAGAAGTCTGCTACTCATCAAAGGCAGTCGATGGGGATTGAATCACCTACCAAACCCATGGACGATGGTCAAACATGGCATTATCGGACTGTTATCTCGTAACGTAAGATACCATGATTGCGTTCTCTAACAAATACGTACTAATAAACATGCCGTAGGTTTTGCAATACTATATCCACACACATCTGCTGCACTCTCCGACCGGCGGTGCACTCTCGGACTTGCATCAGAGCTGGCACCACAGCATCAAGATCCCCTACTCCTTTGCCGCAAACTACGACCACCCCATCTGCCACCTCCTGCACCGCTTCCTACCTCTATACCTTCCAGCAATTGCTCTGCGGATGCATATCCTCACTTACTTGATTCTGATCGCTATCTTCAGTCTAGAAGAGACCTTCGTGTACTCTGGGTACAATGTCCTACCCTCAACCATCATGCTGCGAGGCATGGCACGACGCGCCGATGCGCACATGATGAGTGAAGGAGAGGGTAATTACGGATGCATGGGTGTCTTGGACTGGTGTCACGGGACAACAATTGGTAAGGATGTCGTTGAGGACCTGAAGGCGGAGATGGAGAAGCACAACGTGGAGGAGAAGGCGGGGAAAGCTATAGATGGCGCGGGGGAAGCGGCTAACGGACTGGCGGGGAAGTTTGGCAGGGCTAGGAAAGGAAGGGGAAAGAAGTAAGTAGGTCAAGCAGCGAGCCTAGGGTCATGTAACGAGGTCTGTATACGTGTGGCATTGGCGCAATTGGTTCGGTGGTAGTGTCCTTGGTTAGCGGTCGCTTCTGATACCCTTACGTCTGGTCGCTGGGAGTTCGTGGGCAGTTGGCGCAGTATCGGTCGAAGAATGTAACGTCTGTATCTCTATTCCTTGCATCAGTACTCGATTACCACCCAGTATGTACTGCGCCAATTGAACGCCCAACTATGACATCACGCAAGCGGAGACCAAATGTTCACTTTTGGACCGTCTCAGATTCGCTCGCTTCATATAAAGTCTTATGGTAAATGCCTTGTCGGAATCCTCCATGAAAAAAATTGGCTGCCGTGCCGCTGCGAGTCTTGTTTCTCGCTAGTACAGCCGCAGTATGCCGAAGTCGTCTTTCATCCCATGCACTGAACGCCGAATGCCCGATCGTTATCCGTCGCTTAGAAGACCATCTGGTGAGGCCTGTCGGAGCTACGGAGGCTGAAGCTGGCACCGAGGTAGTCGGCGAGGTGAGCCTCCTTCTTGATGGTGGCCAGGAGAGCCTTGTCGACGGCCTTCTGGTCCTCGACGCGGTCCTTGGAGGTCTCCTTCTTCTGTGGCTTTTGTCAGTATTGGCGCATTGCACTTCCATTGTGTGTACGTACCTCTGGCTTCTCGCCCTGCTTGAAGAAAGCATCCTCACCCGGCTTGTGGGCGGCCTTGTCCTTGGTGAAGTAGCCGTCCTGGCTGCACTTCTCCACAACCTTCTCGTCTACGCCGCTCAGGTCGACGCTGGTAGAGGTAGCGATGACATATCGGGCGTTTACGCGGCGAAGGGGAACACCGTTGACTTTGAAGGGACCGGTAACAAGGAGGACACCCTGGGAAAGGTGCTTGAGGACGACGACGCGCTTGCCGCGGAAGCGACCAGCAAGGAGGATGACGACGGTACCGGGCTGGAGAGACTGGCGGACCTTCGCAGGGCGGACAGACTTGCGGGCCTTGAGTCGCAGTTAGCGGAGCTCCAATTGATGTCTTGATTCTTGTCCTTGCACCCAAACACCCGCCGCATGCTGTCGCAGTGAATGCACTCAGCACCCCTGCAGTCCTTCTCTTCCGTGCAAACCATCGTCTATCGCGAACGTACCTTCTTGGGGACAGCAACGTCCTCAGCAGGGTAGTACTTGCTGGCCTTCTGCGAGTGGTGCGGTATCGACCTCTCCCCCTTGGAGAACTTCTGGGTGGTGGGCTTCGTGTCCTCTTGTTTGGCCGCCATTTCGTTTCGCTGTGGTCGTTAGTGCTGGTCGGTGGTGTTGGCGATGGAATCGATTTTCGTGAATTCGAGTGTGTGCCAAGCTGTCCAATCGATACGCGCGACCGGGCCGAGAGTTGTTCCGTTGGTTACGTAACCCGCGTGGAGCTTGCAGCTTGCGGCGATGCTCGCGGTACCGCCGCTGAACATCACTGCCCCAACACCGACACACACCGCAGCCATGTCTATCCAACCGCTCATCACCTTCAAGGCCGGCCAGTGTGAGCTGACTGTAAGCGTCGCGGAAACTGACAATCCTGATCGTACACTAACAATAGCCACAGCGCGGAGAAGGCAACCAGCAGACAGTCAAGCCAGTACCGACACCAGGCTATGTCTACCTGTACCAAGGAGAAGATGGTTTGTTTGCAACCTACTCAGCCGATTCCTCAACTTACATATCCAGAATTCGTGCACTTTTGCTGGCGACCACGCGACCGCTCGCTCGACCAGTCGGACCTCGACCTCATCATGATCCCCGGTGACGGCTCCTTCCAACCCTACACCGGCAAGGACTCCATCGATGACCCCGAGAACATCAAGTCGCCCACCGACGGCCGCATCTTCGTCCTCAAGTTCAGCTCGAGCTCACAACGCTATCTCTTCTGGTTGCAATCAAAATCGCAGCACCCGCGCGGCGCGAGCTGGTTTAGCGAGCGCGACCTCAAGATTGGACAGGTCATTGACTTGCTGCTGACGGGCGAGGAGATTGATGTACAGGCTGAACTTGCAGGTATCTCGAGCTCATCCAACAATGACGAGGATGAGACCATGGAAGACGTAGAGCCATCTAGCCGAAACCGCCACGGTAGCACCGGAGGCGCTGGTGCTGGTGCCACAGGCGGTGATATCCGAGATGAAGGCGAAGAGTCCCGAGAAGGGGGCGCCGATGGTGGTCGAGCGTAGGTTCCATCTATTTGTATCGCATTCGGCGTCGTGGCGCAGTCTACCTTTCCGGACAGAATTGAGCTGCTGTGCAAATTACCAACGGCTCTATACAAAACTATAAAGATATCCTGTCACAGTACGGCGTTTTGGGAGAAGCATAAGACCATCCAAACATGGCGATTGGCACTGGCTGCTCATGTACAACAATAGAAAATAAGCATCATGCTACGTCTTCCACTGGCCACGCCGCGGCGCTCGTTTCGCGTTTTTGCTTTTGCCTATCCTCTTGAACATTCTCGCTAACGCGTCGACAGAGCCGGATCAGGTGATGTCTCTGCCATTGTGCAAGACTTCATGAACTCGCTCAAAGGCGGCAACGCAGGCGGCAGCTCACAACAACAAAGAGGATCAGAACCCTTCGCGAGTCTTACCGAGTTCCTCTGGCCTACGCATACTCTCTCAACCGTTGAGAACGCTTCCGACGAGACCATCGACGCACTGTGTGCCCAACTACCGACAATCCCTTTCCTCCTAGAAGCCGAAGTCGAAGACATCGATCAAATTGACCCCAACTCCGAGACCGCGCAGATGGCCATACAGACATTGGGTCGGGACGAGAAAATTGAGGTTCTGAGCAGGATCCTACGGGCACCCCAGCTGAGGGGAGCTTTAGGCAGTTTGAACGAGGCCCTGAGGACCGGTGCTCTACCGACTGTCAGCCAGGCACTGAAAATTGATGTCGAAAACGGAGGCTATATGAGAGGTGGAGGCATGCCACTTGGTGGCGGGGATGCAGTCAAGGCTTTTCTGGAAGGTGTCAAGAAGACAGTAGAAAAGGAGAAGAAGGGCGGCGATGACATGGACACCAGCTAGACTGCCAAGCGGCTGTAGCGATTTGGACATGCTTTGGCATTGAATGACGACACACGAATGATGCACATATAGACGACAATGACCAATGGCACGAGCAATGCATTGCAAGGGTAGGATAATCGAATTATTCTCGCTCTGATCTGTACTTTTCAAATCCTCTTCTTAGAGGTTCGCTTCCCATCTAGGAGGATCTCCAGAGTGTACAGAGTCAGTCAACGGCTTTAGCCTTTCCACAGATTCATACCCATTATCGACTTCCATTCGTCTCACTTCCAACGGGGAA